TCTTTTATCTTATTTTTTTATTATAATTAATTATATTATTGGATTTGTTATATAAACTTCTAAGAATTGTTATTATGTATATATTAATTAACAAAATTATTTAAAGATTTCAATGTAATAAAAAATAAAAAATTAAATTAAAGTAAACAGAATTTTTTAAAAAAATCATAAAAAAGTATATATATATATAGTGTGTTGCAAAATTTTTTAGAATTTTTGATTTATTTGTTATTCAAAAACTATTGCATAAATATTAATAAAAAATATAATTTAAAACTTAGGAATTATAATATAAACTTTATATAAAATATTTTTGAAATTTTTTAAGTTTTAAAAATTAATTACAAATACAAATTTCATTAAAATCATTATAATTTCATAAATTTCCATATAATAAATTTAAAAATTTGTATGGATTTTTTACTTTTTTCAAAAAATTTTTGTATAATTTATAATTTGTAAATTTTAAAATTTAAAAAAAATTTTTTTTAATAATATTATAAATGAAATATAAAATTTTATAATTTTGGAAATTTAAATAAAATAAATATAAAAATTGGATAACAATAATATTATATCTTTTTATAAAAAATTCTAAAAATTTTTGCCACACTAAATATTTTTTTAAATAATTTTTCAGATAAAATAATTAATACCTGAAATACTGCATGTAGTAATTTACAACAATTTAAATAAGAATATAAATTAACAAGAAATATTAATCATCTTAATGATTAATAAATTATTATTCAATTTAAAAAACTTTTTTATTGATTTTTAAAAAAATATTAGTTAAGATGATAATGAAAAAATCTTTTTTATTCTTGTGATCAAATAAAAAACTATTCATATCTCACTTATCCAATTAAAATAATAATAATAATAATTTGTTTATTTTTATTATTTATTATCATACGTACAGTCACCTCAAAAAGTAAAGCGTGATTTTATAATTGCGACAAAAAAAAATCACGTTTTATTTTACTTTATACGTTGCATATACAAAAAAAATTTTTTTTTTTAGTTAATATTTTGTCAGTCCTCCGTTTGCTTGCAGTACTGCATTAATTCTCCACGGCATTGAGTGTAAAACTTCTCGAAGAACGGAGGTATCGAATTTCTCCCACTCTTTTGTTAAGGCCACTTTTAAGTCGCTTACTGTTCTTGGAAAGTTATCTCGTCTTTGCACACCATCTTTTAACAACTTCCAGATGTTCTCTATCGGGTTTAGGTCAGGTGAGCTTGCCGGCCAATCGATTTTTTCAATTTCATTCATTTCAAACCATTCTTTGACGATCTGCGCAGTGTGTATGGGCGCGTTATCTTGCTGAAAAACAGGATTCCCCCCTACTAATTCTCGTGACTGACGTTGAAATGGTAAAAGATAAGTTTCTAAGATCTTGAGGTAAGTTTTTGAATTGATTCTTTCATTATTTTCCTTAAATTGATCACAAAAAATTAATGGTCCTTTGATTTCCCCCACGAAGCAACCCCAAACCATAATTGAACGACGACCACTTTTAAAAGTGGATGTTAGACAGTCAGTGTCATATCTTTCTCCTGTATGTCGCCAAACATGTACTTGTCTTGACTGTTTTCCAATTTCTACACTAACTTCGTCAGAAAAGATAATTCGCCACCAATCGTAGATCCTATTTTCTTGAAATTTCTCGCACCAGCTAACCCGCGCCTTTGCTTGATTTTCCGAAATAAAAGGCTTCTTGGCAGCAATATGTGAATAAATCCCTACACCATGTAGTACATTTCTCGCAGTTGATAAACTGTACCTGAGTTTTAGATCGTCCAAAATTTCATGTAGAGCTTTACGACGTGTTGTGATAGCTTCCTGCACAAGCACCTCCTTTTCTTCTTTATTTAAAATTTGTGGTCTTCCAGACCGTGGCAAGTTTTCTATTTTTCTCGTCTTTTGGTATTTCTGAATAAACCGTCGTATCATGGAGGGGTGGCGCCCCATATCTGCTGCTATCTTCTCAGAACTAAAATATTTACTCAAACCCAATATTTTTCCCTTATCTTCGTCGGTTAGCTGGGTGCGAGCGGGTTTCATTTTTTCGGGGAAATTTTTGGGTATAGTGTTTAGTGAAGTCAAAAAAGTAAACAACAAAAAGATAGGTGCAAAAAAATGATAAAAAAGGGGAGTGTGTCACGTTTAAATTTATTGTGCCATTTTATACGCAAATCGTGCTTTACTTTTTGAGGCGACTGTACATACGTCTATATACTTTTTTATTTATTTAACTATGACCTTTTTTGATTTATTTCTACTAAAGAATTTTTTATTAATGAAAATTTTTAAATTAGTTAATATGGATTTTCGTTTTTATTCTTTTAAAATATTCTTTTATTAATAAAAAAAATTATTTTTTTTAATTTTAGTAAAAACTTATATAAAGATTTATATTTATATTCGCAAATATTCAAAATTCAGATATTTACAATTTTAATTTATTTTATATTGAAACAATGCGAGACGTTAATAAAGAAGACCAGTGATTTCGCGATTTCGTTACGTGACGATCATTATGCGGGACACGTGATACGGTACGTTTTATATTAAATGTAAGGGATTCGGAATTTTCAATCGAAATCGTTCTTTTTTAATGTCAATGTTAATCATATTTACGAAGAAAATGCATTGTTCTGTCTTAGTGAAGCTACAATTTGTTTGTAACTTTAAAATAATGAGTAATTTTATTCGATATCTAATAACTGGTAATTTTTTTTAACGCGTGACTTTTTTTTTTTTTTAACAAAGATTATCAGAGATCTGAAGCGCATATATTGTATTTCTCGGTCATAATGCTGGCCAAGTTGTGCCACCGGTTTACGATCGACATTGGAAAAAAAAACTTTAAATGTGATATAGTTAATGAACTTTTTATTCTGGAATAATGTTTAATGCAAGGATTTTTGCTAGGGCACCGATCTTGCTCCGCTCTTCATACACCAGAGTATGTGAAATTTGGCCTCGCACACGTTAGGACATGACCTTGTGACCAAATATATATATATATATATTTTTTGTTTTCAAATAGGGCTCTCCTCTGCGGCAAAACTTTTGCCTCGCGCATAGTACAATACAGCGAAGTTTTTCAACGCAACTGGGACCCGTGATGAAAGGTGTTAGAGTTTATAAGTTAGCAAATTTCTTCACCCACTTGAGATTATATTATAATTATTTTACAATGGAACGTGAAATTTATTAATGCATTTTTGACCGGATTATAATTAAAGATATCATTCAAGATTTATACGTTAAAGAGCTCAAAACCTATAAGCCGCTCCCTGAGGTATGGCTAATTTGTCTTGTTTCTCTTCGGTTTCCATCTTTTTTTCTTTTTTGATAACAGATTTTTTTGACCTTCACAAGAAACCTGGCGACGAACACGGTAATGTCAAAGACCTTCGCTTACCACCTCCTCCTCAGGTACTTTATCCAATGCAGTTTCTTTTTTCCAATGAAGCTTATGGATAGTTAAACCTTATTATCTTCCCTTTATTAAAGCCTCCTGGTGTAGATGAGGACATTGAATCAGAGTTGGCAGCATATGATGTCGAAGAATTACCGGGAGAAGAAGAGGCAGCATTAGAGACATTGCTAGAAGATCAATTTCTGAAGGAAGAGGAGGAGGTTTCTCATGCACACGCTTAGTCCGAGATTTAAATGCATAATGATAAATGATAGGGATTCACGGTTCCGGTTGTTTTTTGGTATGACTACAAAGTCTTTTGATCAATCAATACAATAATCCCATGTTTTAAGAAAAATCGAGTTGCATTTTTAAATGGCGCAAAAAGAAGGGAGAACTCTTGAAAGTTTATAATGAAGATACGAAGCGTATAAATTCTTTACAAAGCTTTGTTATTATTAAATCAGGAATTAAATTATTACAATATTTAAATGACCAGAGATAATATCAAAGATTAACCATCAGTTCCTGTGTTAGTTTTACCCAGCTCTTGAGCATTCGAATCATCACCAGGAACTTGAATTAGCGCGGGAGCTTGACCTTTTTCTGCAGTAGATGGCTCCAAAGAACTTCGTGTTGAAATACTTCCAAATATCATATCCATTTCTTCTAGGGATTTTCCTTTGGTCTCAGGGTAAAATAGGAAAATCGATACAGTCATTATCAAACAGAATGATCCAAATATGATATAAGTTCTATAAAGCAACCAGAATAAAAGATGAGAAAACGCAAAGTACGATTGACCAAAAAAAACAAGCGTTTCGATTCGTTTCGACCGAAAAACATACCCCCATGTAATGCTAGAAATTTTTAAATGATGATTAACAACTTTGCAACAAAAAACACAAGCTTAATGATAGCACAAACATTAGTAAAAAATACCTGTCTAACAAAGTAGGCGTCACTTGACCTACAACTAAATTTAGGAGCCAATTCGCAGCTGTCGTAATGGATAAAGCCTTTCCTCGAATTCTAGAAACATGAATAAAATGTTAATGTTGTCCGGCGTAAAAGAACGAGAGAACTAAAAAAGAAAATCACCTCAAAGGGTAAATTTCAGCCGGATAAATCCATCCGCACTAAAATAATTGGAGGATGAAGATTAATTCAGACTTCTACGTGAAAAATCACATGTTTTTTTATGAATATATATACCGGTCCCCAGGAGTATGCAAAAGACGCGACAAACAAATAAATGAATGCAATTATGGAATAAGAACTCGCATTTGAATCTAATCTCACAAAATTCTTTCCAAGCTCGTTGTCATAATACTTGGTTCCATGTACTGCTAACACACTACCAATAGTAGTCATACATAATGCCATGAGAAGTCCTCCTGATATCCTATTTTCGATTCATAAATTGAGAATTAGAATGGGTTATCATCGATCTTTTGAATCGAAAAGATTCTTACATAGTTGGTCGACGGCCCCATCGATCGATCCAAAGAATTTCAGGAATGGTGGCAAGCACATTAACAATACCTAATATGTACGAAAATAGGTTAAACATCAAGTCTTACGTAATCAAAAAATATGACATGTGAAAGGTGTTACCATTGACTCCGGTGGCAAGTAGTTTTGAAGAATTGCTTGTAAGACCGGCGTTGGTAAAAATTTGTGGCGCGTAGTACTAGATAAGTAATTAATAAAAGAATTTGTATATCCAATGGTTTCATCACCTCGCATTATATAACATAATTCTATTCAGTGCTCACCATAATAGCGTTGATACCCGTGAGCTGTTGGAAAATTTGGATGAAAATGCCAAGAAATATTCTACGTCGAATATTTTCCGGGCCACGTTTCAGTAATTCAGCATAACCCTTTGACGCGTTTTCCCTTTCAAATCGAATATTATCTTTAATTTCATTGTATTCGCTTATCACCGCGGGATCATTTTTGTCACCGTTCGCGCGGAGTTTGGAAAGAACGGTCAGCGCTTCGTCATTGCGGTCGTAATCCAGTAACCAACGAGGTGAACGTGGTAGGAACACGATTCCCAACGCTGAACATTACACGTGAAATTTTTTAGAATATATTTCGATATTATTTAGTCAGGGACCAAACAAAAATTACCGAGCACGGCTGCAGGCACGCATTGTACCCACAATGGAATTCTCCATTGTTGCGGTGAGTTGATTTCTCCGGTGGCATAATCGATCCAAAATGCCACCGCTATTCTATTTTTTTCAAGAGAAAGGAAATACAAAAAAAAAAAGGAACATAATATTGTCACGTGTTAATGTGGTAATAAAAAAAATCGTGCTACCAAAGTCATACCCACCCTATGGTGATTGACCATTGTTGAAGGGAAACTAGACGACCTCGAATTTCCTTAGGGCTAATTTCAGATTGATACTAAGAAAAAAAACAAGCGAAAGTGGAGAAATGAATCTTTGAAGAAATTCGAAAGTAAATGCAAGCATACATACCATAGGCACCACCGTCGATAAAATACTGAGGAATATGAAATGATAATTATTAATACTCTACAGAATAATTTCCAAAGCGAGAAGACAAAGTGATTACCCAATCGAAGTCCCTGAAATAACTCTACCAATGTAAAGCTGGGCAAATGATTCCGACGTAGCTTGCAGAATCCCGCCGACTATAAACGTCAGGGATCCTACTAGAATCGACATTCTCCTACCAAGTTTGTCCGCAGAATATCCTGAAAAAAGTGCACCTATAGATATTTTGCGGTAGACACGATATTTTTTTTACTTAGAAAGTTACCACAGCGAAAACATTACAATACCATTCCATAGCAACATACCAACAAAGCATCCTGCCAAAAAAGAAGATACGATCGATCCTTCTTTCGCTGGACCCGAAGGAAACTTTTCGCGAAAATATGGCATCGTGAGAACACCAGATATGACACCTAATTTAGTTCATAACGATTATTAAAAGAGGAAAATTAGTCGGTCATGCAATATGCGCGAATCTTTATCGTTCCTAATTAAAAAACTAACCAAGGTCATATCCGAAGAGTAGTCCGCCTGTAGATATAAAAATAGGTTCATAAGAATAATCGAAGGGGAAAAATAGATATGATAAGAATAAGAAGAATAACAAATACCAAAGGCAGAAAATGATGCGCACAAATACACAAACGTATTTTTTCCGCGCATATCGTTGAAGAATTTTTTGATAGTATTAAATATTAAATCGCTTCAATGATCAAACTCTTTAAGATACTTGTGAAAGAAGAAGAGTTAATGTTGAATTCAAATTGCAAAGTGATTTTTTAAAAGATCCTCCAAAACTCACAAGTTTAAAAAAACGTTGGATGATTATTCTCATCAAAATCCTAGATACTGTTTAACGTCATTTACAAAAAATAACAAAAAAACAATAGTCAAACAGATGTATTCAAGCATTTTTTTGTTTATCTTAAAGGATTTTTGAAAGCTCCTTAAAAAACAGTGAGATGGGCTTTCTCATCAATTCATTCTCAATATTGATAACGGCCGGTCTCAATCAATATAAGGTTTCATATTTTAACATAATGTATCATACATAATAACAATTTTGTTAACGTAAACGAGTAAAGATCCATTAGGTAATAGTAACATGATTCGGTATGTTCCAGTATTTTCACGTGTGTTTCTATTATTGAATGCGTTTTCGCTCAAGATAAAAAAAAAAAAAGAATGCGCTCAATATTACCTACTCAGACCCAGAAACTGTGGGAGTACACAGATTCACAATTCAATTCTCGAACATATTTATAAGAAATTTGAATTTCTCAAGGTTGTATGTCTTAAACGACAAAATAATTTCTCTCAAAACTTTACTATAGTTAACTTTGATACTAGTGCTAAATTTGGTCATTCCTTTAGAGAATAATTTGTTGCCCGTTCTTGTGTAAACAAAAGATATGTTCTCACACCAGGAATCTGACCAATTGACCATTCCGTTGAACAAGACATCCCTCCCTCCACGAAAATAAAAAGAAAAAGTTTGTCATTCCTCGACGCCATACCCGATTTGTCGTTCGGAAAAAAAATTTTTTTTTTTCATACTTCATTAATAACAAATTTCCCTGATGGTAATCGTGATCTTCACGTATATGGTGCTAGTATAATTTTGATTGCGAATTCGAATTCATTTATCCCATCTTTTTTCTCATACAATTCAAATGGTGAGGTTCTATTTTTAGAAGCATGAATGGTTTTCTAAATCACTAATTTACTTACGGTAATTTAGAGAAAGTCAAATACCATCAAACCTTCTCGAAACGCGTCAATAAAGGGTGGTGGTGTCAAACGACGGTCGCCGATTCACCGAACAACAATAGCAGCTGCACGAAAAAAATCATCGGAGCTAACTGATTGTCAAGAACAACTCCAAAATGTTGGTGCTTGTTCAACTTCAAGTCAAATAGATAAGCGAAGACGCGCAGTCGAAAGTTCGAACAGTCAACAGGGAACCAGTCATAAAAAAACAAGACAAGAGGTTACCGAAGAGTTTACTGACAACGATAGTGACCAAGATTTTTCAGACGAAACGCTTCGAGAAGGTAATGCTGTTTCACTTAATAAATACATAACAATAATAATATGACGCGTTTTTTTACAACGAGTTTTTCTTTTCTGAATTATGACGCAGCTCCAGGTGTGTCCGAAAATACCATCAATGATCAACTGATACCCTTAAGCATAAGTACTAGGACGTTTTGCGTCAAAATTATGAAGGATTCAATGAGGTAAGCTTTCTATCTTGCCTACAAAGGAATGTCATAGTCTAGCTAGTCCACTATGGATTACTATAGATTTTTTTTTTTTCGGCCAATCTGCCGTGAACCAACGACGATCTAACAGTGAAATACTCAATGGCGTTCGAGGAGAAAGGAAAAAATTGGAATTAAGAGATCTATTGGATGGATTGATATCAAGGTAAGCTCATATTTTTTGACAATCGAGATCGTAACTTTTTTCCAGTTTCATGATCTCATGTTATTTTAACTTATCAAGAATTAGTAAAAATTTGGAATCCCTCATGATACCTAAAACCTTGGACAATGTGAATATCGATTATGAGAAAGTCCAATCACAAAATGTAAGTATATTATTAGTAACAATATTATAATGCTATAAATAGCATTGATTTATATATAATTAAATTTTTTTCCTGATAGCAAGCGCTAGAAAAATCACTCAATCACGAGTTAGAACAAGCTAGTCAAATGGAGTTACGACTTGAGCATGAGAAGAAGTAAACAACGATTGTTTCCGGTTTTGGCATTCTCCATAATATTTATTATGCGATGCATATTCCCAATCTAGGCTAATGAACGAAGATTTAAAGTTCCTGGCAAAATTCAGAAGCGATAGAAAAGCAGTTGAATCACGAAACAGGACGCTCCAAAGAACAAAGGTAGGTAGGTGTAAGTATATTTGTTTTTGTTTTTTTTGAAAAAAATACATCATCTTTTTTTTTTTCCTCGCATTAAAAGATGCATCCGCTCTTGAGAGAGAATTTCGGGAAAACTGTCGATGTAGATGACGACCTAATCAGGAAACACCTTAGGCCGGTGAAAGACCCATTGTCGTACATATGGAAGGTTGATTTTTCAGTTTAACATATAGTATGAGTATTGGTTATCACAGAAATGTTGATTTCTGAAATGCATAGTATTTTTACATTTTGGTGTCAGCATGAAGAAGATGAAGAACTTTGTGAATTAAAGAACTCCCTAAGTTCTCATCTACGATCAATCGAAAAAAATTCGGGGTTAGACAGATTAGTTAACGAGATACACGATGCTGAAGCTAGTCTATTACGAATGATGACGGAAATGAGGCTGAAAGATGAGCTGGATGAAAAAATCCGTATCTAGCAAAAAATATTCTTGCTCTTGACTTCTATCGTTTTGTATTACGTAATGCAATTTATTGGTACAACATTCAGTGTATATGTATTACTGGATATGGTATTAATAACACCGATTATGAATACATTAAAGATGCTGATATGGTTGGTGTATGCTGGTAAAAAAAAAAAATCCTTATCTAAATTACATTGACGATTAAATAAAATGCAAATTTTTTATTATAAGATGATTGCGTCGCTCAAAGTTGAATGCATGCATAATTTTGATCGCCATTCTAATGCGGTCATGGGGCTGGAGGAAAAAGACCTAAATAACTATATTCTCCGACTCTCTCGGGCACGTAATCCATATCAAAATGCGGCGGTATAGGGTTAGTGACAACTGTAAATCGGTGGGATTTTTTGTGATGATCTATAATTAATTAAATAAAAAAAATTAAAATTGTCTACAAAGTTTCATTCGTGAAGTACATGTGGGTGTAAATTTACCATTTTCAAAACTTCCTTCAATCATGCATTTTTCACAGAGATCAATTTCATGACTTTCGTCGCAATCCAGGCAAATAAAACGCATCCCTTCTATTGGGTCCTTATGACAACTATCACACTAACGAGTCAAGAATCGTAAAGTAAAAATATGGAAAATTGAAGGAATCTCAAAAAATAAACTGCACAAAACACTCACGCAAAAGCCATGATGTATTGGCCCAGCAGGATAATTACAAGGCTACGAAAAATATCGATTTCAATAAATGTCCATTTAAACATAAATTATGTAGATGAAAGAATGAATACCTGAGATTTTTGTGGTTCACCGACTTTGTCAACAGACATCATCACATTCTTAATGCTGACTTCGTCGTCATCATCAGGCATATATAATGTGGGTGGGGGCTGCGCCTCCATGTATGCAATTCCGGACACCCTGAAATAAGCAATGAATTAATGAATCTTATAATTGCTACTGTAACTATGGATGTATAGTATAGTTACCGTGGACGTCGAGGTCGCTTTCCCGATGAGAGTTTAGCTGTCGATTTGATTTTAGATACCTTGCCCGACCTTTTGTTCTTTGATGATGACGCTGAAGACTAAAAAAGGAAAATCGTTCTTTTTAACAACTGATGTACATGACAATTCTCGGTCGAGTCCCTATTAATACTAGATATCCGTCCGGGTACAAATAAGCCAGCCAGGTTTCGTCAATTACGTAAAACTTTGTTCTCAACTTTCTTTCGAATATTTATGAACACCCAATTTTTATTTCCATCGTTGCTATCCCGAGGATATTTGTTATCGCGTATACACGACAACTTTATTGTTTTTAAAATACCTGTTTTAAAGTTCTTGTTTTCAAACTATTTGTAATTTTTCTATATCTGTTAGCCCGCAAATGTTCCAACCGGCACTTTTTTTATCGAAACAAATACTTTAAATGACTTATTGCAATTTTAGATGTTTATTAACATATAGGAACACCCACCTGCTCCCCATCTATCCGCGGTAAGTTGTATCCAGGGTGTTTTGACGACATACTTGAACAACTTATGTTCGTTGTAACTGTGCTATCGGAAGCTGCGCTATTTGACGGCATTTTCAAAGAGTGTAAAGTCACATTCCAACTAAACAGAAACCTCCGTTGCAGAATCACGATGTCAGCTAGAAGTCAAACCTCGCGATTTTATTCATCCTTGAAGAAGATTTCATCTCTCGTGAATTCACCATTTTCGAAGGGTTAGCACAAATACTGTTGTCATCGCTACCTCGATCCGTTCGTCTCTTAGAACGCGTGGAAACCACGTTTTGCGGAACCTTAAGACCTAATTCCTGAGCTTTTCTGTGAACAAGTTCAGTAAGATCTAACGAATCCTCCTGAGGCGATTGCGATGGATTCTTTTTTAATTCCTTTACGAAATCAATCGATTGTGAATAAGTTGAATTTGATTCAAAAGGGAGAAGAAAAGAAACTACCAAATAATGGGGCTGACCTTAGAATCATCCGCAGCTTCTTTCTCTGAATGGTTAGTTTGTTGCGTGAATATCATTAAACATGATGATATGTGCATCGACTTGGCATATTTACCTAATTTCGCCTTGTACTCCAATGGATTGGTATGATACTTGCTCCAATCAACCTCTGGGACGCCAAACACGAATTGACGTTTGGGTGGCTTTTCGTTTGTCTAGAAATTACTAGTAGAATAAATTACGCATTCACTTATGTTTCTCTAACAAATCTGGAAATATTTGAAACAAACGAACCCCATTACGCAGATCTTCGATGAATTGTATAGGATCTTTCAGCGCCTTCTCTTTTACTGACTTTAATTTGCATATATCTTCTTTTGCTTGTTGCAGCTGAAATTTCAGGACATTTATGGCTCTTAAAACCATTTCATAACTAGTTGAAGCATAGTACATAAATTAATCAAAAACTCGAAAAGAATCAATAATCAAGAGATCCAGAAAAACATACTCTTCGTTATCGTTAAGTAACTTTTCCTCTAAACTTAATTCTCTAACTTCTTCTGCATTGCTGGTGATCGCGGCACGTTCTTCGGTAGTTTCGCTTGCGGAGACATTGACTACGTCCTCTTCTGATTCCGACACTTGATATTGCGGTAACCGGGGCAAATCTCGAGTTATTTCTTCCAAGGAATGTGCTATTGGTCCTTGCGCAAGTTCCTCTTGAATTTTCAACGGTTCTTGTTCTCCCTGAGTAGTTTGACGCAATGCGTGACCGTGCTGTGATAGAACCTCAAAGTTGGCAAATGAATTCGTAGTAACTTCTTTAACCTGATCAGCAGTGTGCCCGCCGATTTGAAAGGAAGTTGAGTCATTAACAGAGGTCTCGAACGCGATTGGCATGAGAAGAATTTAATCACAAACCTAAAAAAAATTTTTTAAAATATATTTTTTCAAAAATTATTGAATTATGATAATAAAAAGTAACGTAGCACAACATCCCGATCGGAATATTTCAAGGCGCAGCCATTGTCATCAAAGATTTCCCGGATATAGTACAATGCATTTACACGCACTGTCTACAAGCTTCTAGATTGCTGTTGCGTAAAGCCCGACCCTAGGAATTACACATCTCGATCAGGATGAGAATGAACATTACAAACACAATGAACATCACAAACAACTTGAGAATAATGAATAATCGCGTAAAACCATTCTTTTGCATAACTGCCTCTAATAAATATCACGTGACATTCCTTTTATTCCGAAGTGGGATATTGCGAAGAGAATAATACCCGAAAGAACCTAAAATTTGTATACCGTAAAACAAATTTTTCCTCTTAAGAAAAATTCGGTTACTAAATTTTTAGAGTCCACGTGTACATAACACAACGACAAGACTTCATAAGGGTAGGGTGTGCTTTATTAGCACAAGGTTTTGTCACACGATAAAAAGATCCCCTGATCAGTGAGTGATTGTTCTCGAAAGACTCATTTAAACCCATAAGTTATCTTACTGATCGAAAAACCGTTAGTCTATCATCAAACTCCGATTCTGTTTCCTTTTCAATAAGGGACAAGAGTATATTTTGAAATATAACTTTCTCATAGAATTTTCACAATGTCCGATCAAACTAGAGATAACAATGCCGGAAATAATCGAAAGTCATATTTTTGCCATCAATGTCAAAGGGAAATAGAACCAATGATGGCTCCAATGCCAACTTGTCCTTACTGTAATAGCGAATTCGTGGAAGAGGTGGTTTAATTTTCTTTTAGTTTCGCGTTCAACGCAAAAAATTTGGTCGATTTAAATTCAAACAAGACCCAATTCGAAAAATTCGAACAGATTCATTCTGAAAAGCACGTCTTCTGTCTTTGGTAACGTTTTGTTCTTTCCAATGTATGACGGAATTAGATCAATGAAGAAAACGATCCAAGAGACTTTGAACAAGGTGGAGGAGGTCATGATACGGACGAAGAGTATGAAGATATGAATGTTCCTTTCACCACGGGTAATTCGACCAGTGGACCAAATGACCTTGTGCGGCTCTTGCAAAATATTGTCACGTACGTACAATACCAGCAAGGACCAAATAGCCCCATACAAACAACGGAAATTGCAGCGGGAAATGAGCAACAACCAGAACAGGGTCAACCACAAGGTCAACAGCCACAAGGTCAACAACCACAAGGTCAACGACCGCAAGGTCGACAACCAAATTTCATTTTCGCGATGGGTAGCACGGACATTGATGATCGTAATGATGCACCCTTCTTCAGTATAGCACAGTGGGTTCCTTTGATTTATCTAGACTCAATTTTCGCATTCGTTACCTTATGAAGCTTATTTTGATCTGTATTGATAAGTTTCTTTCTCTAACTATAGGTTATTTCAAAGGATGGTGGAAAATACTGGAAATAACAATGCAATCTTGAATCTTTTTAATATCACTGGAGATCCCAGAGATTATGCATGGGGGTCAACAGGACTTGATAATATTATTTCGCAGTTGATGGAACAGCAGGCTGGGTAACTGTATTTAAGAATTATTTCTTGTATTTTTCTCTATGTCAGTATATTTCACTTGTGATCACACGTTTATGAATAGAAGGCACGCACCGCCTCCGGCTTCTGAAGAGATCATTGAAAATTTACCAAAGAAGAAAATTACTCAAAAGCAAATTGGTTAGTACCCACATGTTCCTTATGTGCGCGAACTTTACTCGATTCTAATTCGGCTTGGTTAAAAAAAACACTAGAGGAACAATTGGGTTGTCCAGTTTGTAAAGATGAATTTAAGTTAGATGAAGAAGTATTGTCATTGCCCTGTTCCCATGAATTTCATGGAGATTGCATAAAACCTTGGTTAAAAGTGAATGGAACTTGTCCCGTCTGGTATGTGAAATTCTTTATATAAAATTTATTTTATCTGCTATTTGTGTTTCTTTTAATTGTTTTACGTCAATCTGTCAGCCGATATTCGTTGGCAAGTCGGGACGATAACAGAAGGAATGATCAGAATCCTAACAACGGTACTGGACCTTCGGGCGACAACAATAACAATAATAATGGATCCTCTGCGTCATCAGGATTTCGGTTCACAGCCAGCTCTTCTTCTGGTACGTCCTCCGGAAATCAATCGAACAATAATCAGCCAAATCGACAAGGTCGTGGTCAATTCGACATGGATTTGGATAATGAACCATTGGATTGATAATTGATTGGTGTGGAATAATGGCATATCCCAATAAAAACAGGATATCAAGAATGGACTCTATAAATTCTCTCTCCGACCTGAAATTATTGATTTGTATGATTTCCATCCATTACAATTTTGGCGGTTATTTCTATTTTGTATGGGCAATAGACATCCTCTTTTATATCATATAGCCAAAGTATTCTTGTGCATCCACTCCTAACCTTCTTATATATAACTAGTATGTTGATTAATTGTAACATTTATCTAAATACTTTCTACAACCATTACTTCTTTATTAAAATTAGAAACAGAACGAAATCTGTAGACAAGTAACATAATCAATATACGTCGTAACGTTGCGATTCACTTTTATGGTTGTTTCGTTTGCTACAATAGATATTTTACCATTGAGCACCACCTTTTCATGATGACAACGTTTCTGCACGTTACAAATTTTATAATTCGCATTTAACTCAGTTATCTGATAAAATACTAACTTAAAATAAATTATTACATCAATTTGATTAATTCGAAATAACATATATACGATCACTTATTAAGCATGTTAAGATATTCATTTCAAAGATTATGATAATTATTTATCATATCATGAAATCAATAAAATCACGGCTTAATTTTAAAAATAATTATCATATAATAATAAACATATTACTAATATACGTAAATAAACGAATATTGACTTTCTTTTTATAATAAGTTATTTATTATTTATTTTAAATTTCATTTATTGAACAAAAATTATTTAAAAAGTTTAAATAATCTCTCTTTAAAACTTATAAAATTAATTACTTGTACGATATTTTATTATATGCTTTTAGATTACTTAAACCATTATTATATAGTTGTTTAAATTACTTAAATTATTTATTATTATTATTATTATTATTATTTATAACTTACAATTAAACTAGAATCATATGTTTATTAAATTATATTGAACTACTACAATTATGAAAAATAATTGCATGTATAAATTTATTTAACTCAATTTATTTATTAACAGTACAAAATCTCTAAATACAATTTATAGAAATTATAGATTGCTATGTCTTAAATTCAAATTGTGTTTTTTATTTATTGTAAAAATTTCAAAAGAGAAAAAACTACAAGTGTATATATAATAAATAAATAAATAAATAAATAAATAAATTATATATTGTTTTGTTTTGAAAAAAGTTTCTTTTAAATTAAGTTTAAAGATTCTTATTATTGCTAATAAACTTATTTTTTATTATTTGTAATTAGTTAAATTATTTAATTTTTATTAAAATTAATAATATTCAAAATTATTGTATTTATAAATATATTTTAAAAAAACTTTATATTTGAAAATATTTAATTAAAAAAGATATTAATTATTTATTAATAATTCTTTTTAAAATTATATATTAGTCACAGGACATTTCCCTTAATCAAAACTCAAAATGTTATTTTTATAATACAATTTATATTGTGTGTAACAACAA